GGTTTTTCTAAATTTCTCGCGTTTAAAATAAAATTTTCGAAAACAAACCCCACCATGATTCTTAGTATATAATAGGGTCTCAATGGTTAAAATATGAAGGATTTTGATTTTTCATCATGTGCCRCGTATTCTCGATTTTGCTCGGTTTTAGTGGACATTCCCTCTTAATTAACCAGTGTATAGAATTCGTGTAGATTCCATCCGCTCGATAACGATTTATCCGTTGTTGCCTTTAGTAACTGCTATTTTTTGACTTATCAATTTTTAGTTATTCATCTTCACGGTCTACCTGATTTTTTTTTCGAAGAGAAAGAAACTCATGTACTCGATGTGGCTCGAACCCCCGAACTCTCGCTTCAACGACAGAGACACTACCACAATCGAACCGCTTGGGATGTCTGCTTTAAGGGGGCAAACTTTTAAAAATTATTCGTAAATCGTTTACTTAAAATATACTTGATTCATTGGTCCGAATTCGTCTATACAATCAATCTTCGAGTTATGTTGCCATTGGCAGCTTGATTCCAAAAATACTTCTTATACAGGGATATCCGGAACCGCATTCTTCATCCTGCAAGTAAGTGATAATGCTGGCTGCTTGGTGGTAATCTTATCGACCATGTATAGAGATGTGTATACAGTCAATCCTAAAGTTGTTCAGCTGATCAACTTTTCCAATGTATAAACAATGTTTGTAAAATCTAAATCGTAATCTTATGGTTGTTTTATGATCTGAATACAATGGATATTTCGTGCGAAGACCCGTGACAAACATGTATTATACCATCAGTCAACGAATACGATTTTTTGTGGTCACTTCATTTGCTTGTTGTTATCCCTATCTAGATCGTTCTCACTATACAAGTTGCTATAATATGTTATTACTGTTATTACATCGCCGGCATTACACCAACCTTTTTCTTGTGGTTGTAAAATTCATCGACATAACTTTAAAACTTCAACTTTTTTGGYGTACTTCCTTGTTCTCGATTGTTCCGCTCAAAGGTCGTCATGGTAGTCGATGGTAATCACATTAAACAGCTAAAACTCGTCAATCAAGCTTCCAAAACCTGTTTTCTGTTATGTCAACCGCAATAAAAATCGTCTGATCCGACCGTCGTTGCTTTTTTGAAACAGTCCTAGCCTGCGTGTTGAGTCCGGAAAAAATTGCATGACGCAGGCTATCCAACCCCCATGATCAGTTTTCATAGTCGCAGTAGCCAGTAATTAAGGGCACTTTTATGTACATACATAATTTTGTATTTTTCCTGACCTGTCAAGGTTCCGCATACAATCCTTGAAATGTACCCTCAAAGCTCTCCAGGCGTCTGAATTCAATTTCAATGGTACCAGTTCACAGAAACACAATCAGATCTATCTTTTTGACGTTTTGATATAACCAGTTTGAATTAGTTGTACATGACTCTTGGGGAGTTGGCAAGAAACACAGACAAACTTGTCAATCACGCTCATCACAATACAGACGATTTACATAAATACAGGCCTGAATCTTCTTTTTCTTCTTTTAATGTGACGTCAGCTGTCAATCGAGACGCTACGATTGTGGTTCCACTTGAGTTTTGATCATTTTCTGACGCCATTTTCATTGTCGATAAGCGTACAGTCCAAGTTATCGCGACGCATGACAAAAAAAGTACCCGTAAACGAAAACAGATCTAGAATATTCCAAAGTGTGTCAAAACATTGATTAACCTCGAAGGTTATACTTTCAAAGTCCCACTTAGAGGCAAGACTGTTACTGCGCATGTCATCCATTGACAGTGTCCCTTTAAGCCATCCCGTCGCCAGACGTTAGTCTTGATTATTGATACATTCATGAATAAGCAATGTGGGATCCCTGTTGGGGGTTCTGAATAATTTTCTGCTTGAGAAATCTGGTTGTACGCCCCCCCCTCCCCCCCTCCTGGTAATTATTGCACAGTTTCTGTTTCTTAGCTTTCTTAGCAATTTTCCTCATCTGCCATATAAATATTTGTGACTTTTAATTAAGAAACAACACTCCGAAAACAAAATTATGATAGAATTGAAGAGGGACTTGACACTTTATACATTTTTTATAACAAATGACGGTAGGAAAGAATGCTCACGGTTATTTCCCAGAATGCATTGCAAGAATCAAAAACCGTCCAGGCCAATGCTAAATGCTGATTACCCCCACCCACCCTGATTTTCAGGACTCGAAACCAAAAACAAGATGTACAGTGAGGTTCAGTTCGACAAACTTGAAATTTAGGCACCTTTTACCCGTTTTTATGGGTTCCAGTCCTCCTCGGTCAAAACAATGGTAAGCATTTAAGTAGGTTGCTGATGTTGTATTGAGACGGTTTCTTTGCTGAGACTTTCCAAGTGCGATAGAATATCAGACTCACATGTTTACCTCCATGTGGGACTTCAGTACGATGCGAGCAATGCCAAAAGAAATTTTTAAATGCTAATTACACCCCTGGCATTGATTTGCGCACCAAGTCCAMCCCAAATTTGGACTCGTCGTCCAAAATTACATAATTAATTGGGTGGGGGTGTTAATTTTGTATTAATACAAAAGCCAAAAMCTCAGTTGAAATCTCAAATATTTGTYTTTCGGAACATCCAGTTTACGCGTGCCRGCATTATAGCATAATGCCCTCGATTCGACTACTAGACCCTATCATTTAGATATAGCACCGCGATGTTCTTGAAAATTGGTTTGTTGAATAATCACGATAAGAGATAGAGCAGTTTAAATTTCGTCTGTAATTCTTTATAAAAAGTTGCCTTGGAAACTGGGTGTTTCTCACTAAAACTTCAGACACAATTTAAGATTGTTTTCGGAACATCCGGTTTCCGCGGGCAACGTTTACCGTAGCATCTCTTTTTGACCGTTCGCCTTGACTTGAAGAAGAACAACTGTCAATAAGGTAAGATTGGTTTATACAAATGTAGCAGTCTGATTACCCCCCTGGCATTGATTTGCGCACCAAGTCCACCCCAAATTTGGACTCGTCGTCCAAAATTACATAAAAATGGAGCCTAAGTACAGTTATTACAAAACTTATTATAACTATATTAGACTTTTAGAATTAGAATTATTATTATTATTAATATTATTATTATTGTGAGGTCGCACACTTTATTCAGTGGTAATTTTTCTTGACATTTGGTGTCAACAAGACTCCTCAAATCTCAAGAACTTTTCTTAAGATCTTTGCAGAGTTTAAGATCACAGTTTTCTGCAATTCTCCACTGACACATTTGATACCCAGTTCCATCAATCTTTCTCCTAACTTTTTGGGCGTTGTTCCTAATGCTCCAATTGWTATTGGAATCACTTTTACACGCATGTTCCACAATTTCTGAAGCTCTTTTGCAAGATCTTGATACTTTGTAATTTTTTCAGTTTCTTTTAAATTAACTTTTGAATCATATATATGGAACAGCAAAATCAACTATTTGACACATTCTGTCTTGTTCATTAATGATAACTAAATCTGGGCGTCTTGCTTCTATTACGTGATCAGTTTGGATTTTTTGAAATCCCATAAAACTTTAAAATCATCATTTTCATAGACTGATTCAGTTCTGGCTGATGTTCATACCATTTTTCTTTTGTTTCGAATCCAAGTTTACTAGAGACCTCCCAGAGAACACGTTTTCCAAGCCAATCATGGCGTCTCCTGTATTCTCGCTGGGCCATTTTACTACATTCACATAATGAATGATTAATAGTTTCATCAGCTTTTCCACACATCCTACATTTGCTTTCTCCCTGAGACTTGTCAATCTTGGATTTGATTGCATTAGTTACTTATTGCTTGTTCACTTGAGCTGCCATTATCAGAGATTCAGTCTCCCTTTTAATTCCAGTAGATCTTAACCATTGCCATTGGCCTTTACCTGTCTCTTCTTCGGTTTGTCGAAGGAATTGTCCATGGAGAGCTTTGTCGTGCCATTTTGTCATTCTTTCCTGATGCTTTCGTTTTTCATCTTCACAATCACAAAAATCATTACCCCTAACAGCTGTTATTATTATGGAATCTTTAATTTTTAACATTTCATTGTTTAATTTACAGTGCCACATTGCAAGGTATTCCTAAGCAATGTGGTTGTATTTACAGATGGCCGTGGAAGAACTTGGTAATATCTGCGTTCTGACACAGGATCCATTTTTGGGCTTTTCTTATTAAGTATAGTGTTTCTCTTTTGTCCTCTGTAA